AAAAAAACTCAAGGTTATTTCCTATATAAATATCTTTCTTTAACCTACAAAGGGTAAGTTATTTCTTATTTCCTAAACTCGTTACCCACACAATTCTTTGATCAAACATAAAGTATTGAAACTTGTGTGACAAACATGACACAGACATACAAGTATATATCCTGTGTCGGGGCCAAAGTTAAGGCCATAGTCATCCCTTGGAAGGACGATAAGGTAAGATCAAGCTTGCAAAACCTAATCGAGAACAAAAAAAAAAAAAAAAAGTTGCAAATCAAGGTCGAAGAGTTAAGATTGGTAATCCTCACTACAAAGCTAATGAAGATCCAAAAAAGGGTCGGGGAGAATTAAAGTAACTTCTAGAAGACGCAAGAAGTTGAAGGACCAGATTTAGAAGCTCTAATAAAGCAAGTAGATAAGTATCTATAAAGCATTATCGTTTTCAAATTTAGACTTTCAATTTCGTGTTTAATAAGTAATTGATTATTCATCATTTTTTTTATGAGATAAAAAATATTTCAAGTTAATTTTTAGGGACTTAAACATAAAATTAAAATTTTAAAAAATTAATTAAATTTAATTTAAAAAATAAAGGAGAAAGATGGGGGGAGAGAGAAGCATTTGAATTTAACAAAATAATATATTAAATAAATAAATAAAATATGTCACATCATTGTAGTAAAAAAAAAAAATTGGGGAGTAATTTTTACCCCAAAAAGTTTGACAATTATATATATATATATAAACTTTGATAAAAAAAAAATTATGTATATTAATTAGAAAACAAACCTTTAAATATTTACGTTAAAAGAAACATTAATGAGATTGAAAGTCCAATTTTCATTAATATTCTATTTAAATAAGATACAGATAAATTGTTATCTATAAATAAGAATTTATCTGAAAAAATGAAATAAAATATACGTTTTACTAATTAACTGGAGAAAATAAAATTTCTAAAAATAAGTAATCTTAAATCAAATTTCATAATAAAAATAAATAATAAAAAAATATAAATTTTGATGGAAACAAAAATTCAGAGTGGATACAGAATCAGATTCCTTTAAAACTCATGATTATTTTATTTTATTTTATCTAAAAAAGGGGAGTGAAAATGACTGCAACTGTACTAGAAAGGGACCAAGGTGGGAGGTATACTAAAAGGAAGAAAAGCTCAATGAAAATAGGAATTCGCGTCTTCAATCTTCTAATTAAATTCAACAAGCTGTCCACGAGCTTCATCGATTTTTGAACAAACCCCATCTGCCTTCACAAATTTCCCCTCGTTTTCCCCTTTCTTTACTGCCCTCTTCGTCAAAAGGACTCTGGTTCTCTGCATTTCCAGTCGCCCACACGCTCCATCGCCCCCTTTGGGACCTCTGAAAATGGCTGCCATGCTTCTGCTGCTCTCTGGTTTCTACATTTTCACTCTCTGATGGCTGTTTTTGGGGCTACGAAAAGGTTTGTTCATGGGTTTTGATTGTTTCTTGCTTTTGACAAAAGCTTTTCTCTTAACTTTTCTGAATTTCTGGGTTTCTTCTGAATCTGATCTGGTTTTGTTCTGTGGAGTTTGTGTGTTATGGTTTTTCCACTTGGGTTCTGCTTGTTTTCGTTTTTTTCTTGAAATGTGAACTTGGGTTCTGGAGTTTGACTTCATAGCTGGGATCTTGACATAATCTGGTTGGATTTGGAATCATTATGTGGAAGTTATGATGAATTTCGTAATGAATCTTTCAGCATTCTTTAGCAGTGGATTTGAGTTTGAATGTTTATGTTTCCTTCACTTTTTATTTATATGGTCTGGCTTTGCTTGTGGAACTATACAAGGAATCTTGTGTTGAAAGATCCAAAAAGGGTTGAAAGATGGAGCTGAATTTGCCACTGGAGGGGGGACTACTTTGCTGGATTTCCTCAGTTTTCTTAGATCTATAGAGACGTTAGCCGTGTCCTAGATAGATAGTCGACCCGCCATTGAAGTTTGAATAACCCGATTGACGGGATGGGGGCGTATAGGATTGTAGAGAGCTTGAGATATCATTAGATCTCAAGAAAAAGTGAATGATATAGCCTAATTGTAATGGTCCATGCCCACTTCTTGCCGATATTGTCTTCTTTGGATTGGTTTTCCTCAAGGTTTTAAAACGACTCTATTAAGGAGAGGCTTCCACACTGTATAAAGAATACTTCATTCTCCTCTCCAACCGAGACGTATAGGACAATGAAATGGGCAAAAGATCATAGAAAGCTTGAGACATCATTAGATCTCTAGAAAAAGTGAATGCAATAAATAGCCTAATTGTAATGACCCTAGCCTACTGTTAACAAATATTGTCCTCTTTGGACTTTCCCTCATGATTTTTAAAACGCGTCTACTAGGAGAGGTTTCCACACTCTTATAAAAAATGTTTCGCTCTCCTCCCCGACCGATGTGTGATCTTACACTAATTATTGAAGAAGAAAGAACAGTAGAATTCTACTTTGTGGCACTTGCTTTCCCTTGAAGGAAAAGGGCTCCTTGGGGCTTGCCGAGATAGACTGAAAACGTCGGTCACGAGTCGTATGAATTAGGTTATACTACTATGTAGCTGTCTGTGTTGTCTTTCTGTCATGATTTCATACTTTGATAAAGAAATAAAGTGTGTGCTTATGTTTCCAGAATTTACAGGCTGAGACTAAGAGCCAATTGATTCCTGGTTTCACTCTCAACCATGAAAGGTGGATCAGAGAATGGATGGCATTACTTTAAGTCTCTTCATTTTAGAGGTAAACCAGCCAACAATTTGTGCTTGCTTCAGACCACTGCCAGTACTCCGGGCGAAACTCCGGTCTATCTCAACGTGTATGACTTAACACCCGCAAATGGCTACATCTACTGGGCTGGTCTCGGCATCTTTCACTCCGGTATAGAAGGTTGGTTAGTTTACTTCCCAATCGTTCGTATATCTAAATAGTGAACGATGGTTTTGTTCTCACTTTTTTGGACAAAGGATCTGTGTTGATCTTGTAGATGTTCTTAAGATTATGTTATATAAGTTGTAGCCATAAGTTATTATCTGTGTTAACAGTTTACGGGGTTGAATATGCGTTTGGAGCCCACGACTATCCTATGAGTGGTATCTTTGAGGTCGAACCTCGGACATGCCCTGGATTCAAGTTTAGGAAGTCGATTTATATCGGTACGACCTGCTTGGACCCAATCCAAGTAAGAGACTTTATGGAGTGTGAAGCTGCAAACTATCATGGCGATTCGTATCACTTGATCGTGAAGAATTGCAACCATTTCTGTGAGGATATATGCAGAAAGCTAACTGGGAAACGCATACCGAAATGGATAAATCGGCTTGCGAGATTAGGTACGTGCATCGATGTTTCCCTTGTCCAGAATACTTACGATTTCATGCTAGATCCTATGTGATTTTAAACCAGAAACACTCTTTGCAGGTTCCAAATGCAACTGCATACTCCCGAAAGCTCTCAAGGCCACAACCGTGCAACACGACTCGAGATTTGAGGGACAGGACAGCGAAAAGAAAAGACTAAGAAGCGGTTTCGGTTGCTTATCCTCAATCTCTATGAATCAGAAGGAAGTTTCAATATCTTCACTGTTTCTACACTCTCACTATAAAGGCTGCCTACCTCCATGGGAACTGAAACGATCCAAAAGTTGGTCGTTCAAGTAAGGAGAAGACGACTTACCCCAACCCGAGCTTGCACAAGGTTTGTTCTTCAAGTTCTCGAGATAATAGCCATGGGAGCTGACTGGTTTGAGGTTTGAGGATTGATAGCAGAGGCTTTAATTTATCTCTTTCTTTTTCTCTCTTTTGTTTCTTAGTCTCTCATAGGCTTTGTTCTAATCATTGACTGTTTCTTTTGGTAGAGCTTAGGAATCTTTCAATGTATATTAACTGTTCTTCCTCTCTTTGCTAATCATTGTTTTAGCAGAAGCTTACATAGTTTGGAACGGCTAACGTATTATCTTACAAAAGGGATAATCTGTGAGATCCTCTACATAGATTGGAGAGTAGAACGAGTGTCGGTAAAGACGTTAGACACTGAAGGGGAGTGGATTATGAAATACCACATAGGTTGGAGAAGAGAACGGAACATTCTTTATAAGGGTGTGGAAACTTCTTTATAGTAGACGCATTTTAGAAATTTTGAGGGAAAACTCGAAAGGAAAACTCAGAAGAAAACAATATCGGTTAGTAGTAAACTAATGACTCGAAAAAGTATACCAATTAGATGATTGGCCCGAGATTTCTATAATTCAAACTTGGAAAACAATCTCTTCTTCCAGCAGAGCAGAGAAGAATATCAGATAGAAATTTATTAATCATTCATTACAGCTTTATGCTGAAATGATTTCATTCCTAATCCCACCAATATTTTATGCCAAATTCTTTCACACAGAATTTCACATTAAAGCTGTAAATTATTCATATTGATTCCAAATACAATTAAAAGAATAAGATAACTATGCATCAAATTAAAAAGCTTATAGTAATTTCTCGTGTCCCTTAATTCTTCTAATAACGAGTTTTTCAACATGCAAACAATTTGAATAGAAATCTTTTGCACTAAATCCAACTAGGGGTGTACACGGGTTAGGTTGGTGACTCGAGTAATCATTCACAATCCACCTAACCCAACTCTCTATTTATGGGTTGAGTTAGGTTGAGTTATCGGGTTGTTTTTTACGATACATGTTACATTAACAACTAAAATATCATAAAACTCAAATATTAAACATTCATAAGTCACCGTGCATAATGAATATCCGTTACAAATGTCAAATATTCTTAACCTTCGTATGATCTTAAAAGTCGAGTAGGGTTGGGTTGGGAAGGTTGTAACCCTATTTTCAATTTGGTTAAGTTGAACCGACCTAAAAAAAAATATCAACCTGTAAATTAGCCCAAATTTTTAATGTTCAAAAAATTCAATTCAACCTAAATAAAAAAAAAATAATGTAACTCAATCCAATCTTTATGATTTAAGTCGGTACTCGGACGGGTTTAGAGTTTCGAGATGGGTTTAGGATTAAGAATTTAGAGTTAGTTTGTTTTTAATCGGAATCTGATAGCGATGAAGAACAAGTTTTCCATAAATTTCAAATTTGCCTCTTCTGGTCAAAGAACAACCTGTAACTTTAAAAATTGAATCAATCAACCTATAACATAATCATCATCCAGTCAACTCAAAGTCCAATCCAATCTCCGTTCAAGTTCCTCTTCATTCTCATCAATCAATCAATTAAATTTCGAAAACGCCTCTTGATTTTCCGATTCTCAAATTTTCAAAAGAAAAATGGGCAAAGGCGGTGGATGCGTACCTAGCAAGAACAGAGCATCGATTACCGTCTCCGATCCAGATCCCGATCATCCTCCGCCGCCACAGGAGAAAAAATCCGCCGCTCAATCTCACAATCCGCCCGGAGAAATCGCGAGGAATCTGAGGATCTTCATCGTGTATTACTCGATGTACGGTCACATCGAGCTATTGGCGAAGAGGATCAAGAGAGGAGTCGATTCGGTTGATGGCGTTGAAGGTGTTCTGTTTAAGGTGCCGGAGACGTTGCCGCCGAAGACGCTGGAGCAGATGAAAGTTCCGGCGAAGGACGACAGCGTGCCGGTGATTGAGGTGGAGAAGATGGTAGAGGCGGACGGATTCTTGTTTGGATTTCCAACGAGGTATGGATCCATGGCGGCGCAGATGAAGTCGTTTTTCGATTCGACGATTGATCTTTGGAAGGATCAGAGATTGGCCGGCATTCCGGCAGGATTGTTCGTCAGTACCGGAACCCAGGGCGGCGGCCAAGAGACGACGGCGTAAGTTGGTTCGTTGGCTTTGTTTCTTTTTCACAGTGACATCAATCATTTGGTATTACAGTTCATTCTGTTCTGTTAATTTAAAATTTTTAAAAATTGCGAAATTAAATTAGAAATCAAATCCTTTAATATATATATACACACACACATGTAAGCTAAAATTTAAAAATTAATTAAAAAAAAGTATTTTTTAAAATTATAGCTAAATTAATAAAAATACTCAACAATTTTATATTTTATATAAAAAAAATATACCTATAAGCTTTTAAATTTCAACAATACTTTTAAATTATAAAAGAAAATACTTCTAAACTTTTTAAAATATTTCGAAAATACCCTTTAAGGATGCTATCGAAAATATAGTTCGGAAAGCACAAGAACCGTTGATAAATGCTATCGTTTAAGTTTGTTTGTCGGTGCAATGGTTAAGAGGGTAAAATGGTAAATTGAGATGTATGATATATTTTTTTTTTTTGTGCGCGCAGTTTAACAGCAGTGAGTCTTCTAGCACACCATGGAATGGTATATGTTCCAATAGGATATACCTTTGGGAGTGAAATGACGAATATAGACACCATTAGAGGAGGGTCCCCTTATGGTGCTGGGGTTCTCTCCGGTGATGGCTCAAGACCTCCTTCTTCCACTGAGCTTCATCTTGCTCATCATCAAGGCAAGTACATGGCTACCTTACTTAAAAGATCTCTCCCCCGCTCTTGACTAACCCTTCTCCTCCTCGGTCCATTACTCGTTTAGTCTCGACACTTTAAAACGTCTCAATTTCACGTCCTCTCCATTTTCGCCATTGGTGTTTTTGTCATTCGATTAAAGCTTAAGAAGTAAAATACAGAGGTTAAAAGTGTAATTTAGCCTATTTTTTTTAATTCTTGTGGGGATGAATTTTTCTTAGGAATTTGAATGTAAGTTCATTGGTAAAAGATTTTGAAATTATTGAAATTATTGGAAGAAGTTCATGACCTTATGTAGTACAACCGACATTTTTAAGGCCATATACCCTACAAGGAGGGAGGACAATTGAGTTATGAGAGAATCAGGGCACATACCCTACATTTTAATAGGTGCACTAAACCTCAAACGTTTCTCGTCCGAGAGTTCCTTGGTTATTGTTCTCCCGAGCTAACTCTCAGTGTGTTCATTTCCACCTCGAGTAGTAGCATATCCCTTCTATGTCATCATAACAAATAATTTACCAAAAAATTCGATTCATGTGTCATACTTCATCATTCTTATATTGTCTAATCATGTAAAACATTAAGATTAAATCATCAATCCAAATCAATGGATAAATCAACCCATGCTAACTGCACTTTGTAGCAGGCTAGTCGACCCAAGCTATCGAGATCTCTAAAACTCGATCTAGACAGTCTGTAGAACCTATCAACTTAAAACTTTGCACTTCTAAAGTAAATTAATGAAATTATTTTTTAACACAAGAAAACTTATCGTAAATTTATTACATAAGCTCTTGATCAAAGGTACAAAATTTAGCACATCTAATAAAAATCACATATGAATGATTAAACAAAATAACATCCCACATTTCATATACGGATGATAAATATTAACTGAAAAACACAGTAAATTGGAAATTTACGTGACATCAATTGGTTACAACTTAGAGCTAGCTTTATAAGGTTAATTAAAGGATATCTTTATGCGATCTACATAAATAATCATACATTCCTAATGAGAGTTTAAAATAGAATTAATTGAGGCTAATAACTTTAGCTGCAAAAAAGAACAGTGTAATCAGGCATCTTACATTAGCACATTCTATAAAGCCAACCTGAGATTTTATGAAACGATTTCAAGTCTCATCACATGATAATAACCAAAGCCTATGATCCAATAGAAAGAGCAAAATTGAAAAATAATGAAAAAGATGAAAAAGACTCTCCGTCCCCCTTTTCCCCCCATGAGATCAATGGAAGAAAAAAAAGTTACGATTTGGAAAGCCTTCACCCCATGGTCTAATCAAAACTGCACGAAGAATGAAGGAACGATTGGTAAGTGATTTGAGCAAATCTGAATATAGATACTCACAGGCATGTAGCACATAGTTAAGGTTATCAATAACTAGAAGTGGAAGGAAGCTGAGCATAGTGAGCTATGTATATAACCCGCCATATGAAGAAACACAACTAACCTCAATTTATTGTCTTGAAAAAGTGAGCTATATAACAGCAATACAAATAAACAAAGCTAACCTCAGCTAACTAATTAGGAAGAAAAACAGTTACAGGTTGACCAAATTAAAGAAAGAAATCTCTCTCTAGTAGATGGGTTCTAAAACCTTGAGGGAAAGCCCTTGAAGGGAAAGTCCAAAAAAGACAATATTTGCTAGCGGTGGACTTGAGCAGTTTGAGCAGTTATAGAGGAGGATAGGAGAGAGTAGAGAGTAGAGAGTGGTCAAGCAAATTACTGCAAGCCCAGGCTTGGCTTCAAGATTAACAGGGCCATGTTCCATTTGATAAGCACATGGAGTAACCATAAGCAGCAATGATGCTTTTTTATAAGTGATAGTCAGGGAGGAGTGACGGGCAAAGAAAAATATCTATTGGATTCAGCTAACATAAATCATTTGGAGATATCAGTATCACCAAAGAAAAGGAACTGAAACCTAAAATCAATCACATTGGAATGAAGCATAGAGGTGGTTTAATTTCCTACCAACCAGAAGCTGAATCAATTAAATATATTGCATATCAACTAAAACTTGTTAAATTTCCCCATTCCTGTGAGATCCCAGAAGCATTCTATATAAGGGTGTGGAAACCTCTCCCTAGCAGACGCATTTTAAAAACCTCGAGGGGAAGCCTGGAAGGGAAAACCTAAATAGGACAATATCTGCTAGCGGCGGGCTTAGACCATTACAACTCCCATCTCATAGCAGTCAGCAGTTCCTCCACAGGAAGGTATTATCAAATGCAAAGCAATCTTGGATTCCCTAGCATACTCATATAATTTTTCTTCAAACCTCATTGCATTTGAGTATCCCTACCGAAACAGTTTAGCTCATTTGGTTGGCAAAAATTCAACCATTCTACATGTTGCAGGCTCGAATCTCAACAGTATGGGTTGTGAGTGTGAGTTTTGGTGAAGGCATTGTGCATTTGATTTGACTTCAAAAGTACCCCTATCGACTATGTTATTGTTGATGAACAACTTCTAATAATGCACTGAGCAGGAATAAAGCTATGAAATCTTCTTCGATCTCTAAATTCTTCAGAATATCAGGAAAGCCATATGCTCATATACAGTAAGAGGGTATAAACTTATGGCACCCTTTTAAAAGCATTTCGAGAGAGATCAAGCGACAGAGAGGAACATAGATTTTAAATTTAATGTAATATTCCAACCAAAACAGCAATTAGCAAACAAAACAGGATCAATGCAGCACAATCACTTATTTTGTTCCAAATACTTCAGGTATAATTAGTTCAACATGGTTCTCAGTGTCTTTAGCTAAATAGCAAAGAAAACATTGCAAATAATTCAAAACAAATGAATAAGTAAAACCACAGATACATCAATATTTAACATACAGAAGCTGCTAAGAGGCTAAGTTTACAAAATCAACCGTTTCTCAGTAAAAAAAAAAAAAATTGCCTATTAGAATTAACAACAAGAAAAATTAAAAAAAAAACTACATAAAACGGCAGTATAAACATGAAGCAGAGAAATCGTTCATTCAAACGCCGAATCGGACAAGAACAGATCTATTTCGAAACAAGATTTTTTCTTATTCGAAGAAACTTCCAAGGGATGACACGCACATAGTAAATAGATCAGGAAATAAACTAGAAGCCAAAATTGGGAAGCAATCGCATCGTTTCTCAATAGTGAAACATTAGACAGTAAAAAGAAATCTAGACCTTAAAAATCCAATAGACTCGAAATACCTTAGAGATGACCTAAAAGTCGAGCTTGAGTTCTTCTTTCTCGTCGGAAAGGTAGTGTAGAACATAGGGGGTAACTCGGATTACAGCAACCCATACGCCGAACATAGCAACGTGAGATCGGAGCTGCTTGAGAGCAGCAGCCTTGTCGGGCTTACGCATAAACATTCCGGGAAACATTTTTCGCTTTCTCGTAAGCCGAACAGAGGGATGATCGGAAGTCGACGATAAAACCCTAGACTGAAATTTGGGTATTTTTTGAGTGGGTTTAAGGCCGAGCCAGAAGGCTTTATTTTGACCACTTTCTATTTATTTATACTAAATTACCAATTTAACCCTTTATATTTATTTAGTCTATAAAATTTTAAAATTAATCTTTATACTCTTAAATTTATTTATTTTTTTAAATTAACCCATGCACTAAATACAAAATTTTAAATTAAAATTTTTATTAAACATAAAACATAAATTTTTATTACTTATTTTAAACTTAATTTATTATTTTCACTTTAATTTTAAATACATATCAAACATAAAATATTAATTTTTATTACTTATTTTAAACTTAAATTATTATTTTCTCCAAATAAAAAATGGATTATTTTCACACAATTAATACAAAAACACTCTAATTTTCTCTTAAATTATTATTTTCATTCTAGCATTTTCATACTAGATATAATTTTGACCACGTGGAGCTTTCGTCTAGTGTCCGATTGACACTATATTCGGTGGGTTTTCATCTTTCATGTCGGTAGAATTAAATTCAGAGTTGCATACCCAAAATTTCTTATGGAACCTCGACTTTTAAAGTTAAGGCATGAAGTCCAACTGAACCCCTTATCAAATATATCTTTGTCCCTCATGTTGACATCGCTACTTCCCTCTTGCTTATGCCTCAACTTGGATTCAATGCACATCTATTTGATGTGTGTTAGATGATGCATTGTTCTCTTCGGTCTCATGATGATACTTATCCTTTTACGTGAAGATGACAACCTACTTTCTTCATAGTATGATTGTGACGCTCAATTCTCTACTACAATATATTAAAATGTATCGAACACAACATCATACCAGTGCTTGAATTCTTCTCTTATAAGTTGCCACAGGTCGTGTTGCTCATCATTGTTCTAAGACCACCCGAGAAGCTTGGACACCAACACAAGTATTTATCTCACTATAAACATATATATGCTAATTAATTTAAATTAGTTTAATATCTTAAAATAAGATTTTCTCGTTTAAAAATGGTTTAACAAGTCAGATTATTATAGACCAACTGATACTATGATGATTAATTTACTCATAATTCCTTTCTAGACCGTTAGATCGGTGAAAAAAAAATCTATATAATATACATCTAATTGTGTAAAGGATAACAGTCCTATTGAATAATTTAAATTATCTAAATCAATTACGCACAAACTTTTTACCATAAACTTTACACTGATACTGATGCAACCTAAAATGCAACACCCAATTGGCAAAAGAAAACAATTAGGAACAACTTTTAAAACAAATCTAATAGCTCACAGCTCACATTCCCAACACAAATACAAAGAACAATGCGTAGTTGCATTTGGGAACAATCAAAGCACACGAAGTAACAGAACCCAGACAGGAAAAACAAAGAGAAGGACAATGCCAATGGTGTTTGAAATGCCATTGGCTTTGGTGAAGGAGTTTCTGAATCCACCAGAGGCTCTGATGTGTTCTTGCAGCAAATAGCATGATATGATCAGACATATCACTTCTCCTATGGCGTCGCCCCTTATGGTGCTCGCAAATAACCCCGGAGCCACCACAATTAGAAGTATCAAAGCGCCAGGCAATTCAAGCCAATCTGTATTTCCAGGCAATGAGAGAAGGGAGGGCAATAATTCAGTTTGACATCTAATTCTTTTGGCTCTTAAGCTTGCAAACTAGACAGGACATACTATACTTCAACATGATGTGAAATATCTATCTACTGAAAGCTTAAGCTATTAGATTGGAGGATATTTAATTATGGATGAGGTTTGGGATGTTAGTTGTTTCTTCAAACTAAGCAAATCATATTATCTTGGAAACTAGAATGCAAGTGTGAAAGTGTTGAGGATGGTTGGGAAGTAACAAAAAGAAAGTGGACAATATCATACCATTATGGAAATTTGTGATTTCTAACAAGTTACCAGAGTCATGCCTTTAACTTAGTCATGTCAATAAAATCCTCAAATATCGAACAAAAAAGTTGTAAGCCTCGAAAGATGCAGTCAAAAGTGACTCAAGCCCTTAACTTAAGCTCAAGGGTGTACTTTGTTCGAGGACTCCAGAGAAGGAGTCGAGTCTCAATTAAGGGGAGGTTGTTCGAGGACTCCATAGGCCTCAGGGGAGGCTTTATAATGTAATTTGTTCGAAGGGAGGATTGTTGGGAAGTAACAAAAAGAAAGTTTTGAAGGTATGTTAGATACCTAATGGTAGTATACTTCAACTAAACTTTTTGATCATTTTGATGCTTTAAGATCTATCTAACTTTTTACAAGCTCAAAGATGTTAAACAGTTTGATAATGATTCTTCTTCATTGTTAAGATTTCAATAGTTCTTAGCAAGAAATGAAAATGAGAATAGAAAACTAGTCATTGTGGCAGTCATCCAAAATGAAACCGAAGGAAGAAGAGAATAATCAAAACTACTGAAGGCTCTAAACCTAATTCAACAAACTCTTCATCCAGAATATTTTGTAGTTCATAAACTGAAACTGAATTCTGTAATTTCTGTAATCTAGTCGAGTCCTGAAAACTACCTGGGAATCGTCGTGGGAAGAAGAGACGCAGCACTACAGCAATGACAGCGATCCACTTTCCGACCTCTCCCCTGCAAGAGAAAGCAATTTAGTTAGAGACGACAGAAGCGTAATTCCGGGAGCTTCATTCGGAGCCAATTGCTATAGAGATGATCACCTGAGAAAACCGAAAATCAAACCAGGAAGACTAAAGAAAATGTACGGAATCAACAATGAGGTAAGGATATTCGTCTTCCAGTTCGTTCGATCCAAAATCAGCAAGTAACTGCACTCACAAAACAAATTCAAGTTGCAGAAGTGTATAATAATATGAACAGAAAGAAATCGAAGTCGAAGCGAAATGATCCAGGAAAACCTAAAAGAAGATCAAGCAGATATCAAAACGAAAACAACATTTGGCTACAGTAATCATTTCCCTAATTAAATCCTTCTCATATTCCTCAATCAGTTCAATACCTAAATCAAGAAACGAATCACTTCAGTTGAACAGAAAATTGATCACTAAACGCAAAGTATTCCTCGAAACAAAAACCGAAAATTAGCCTCTCACAACTAAAATTTCCTCTAAAACAATCAACCGTCAGCAACGAACCACAAACAACAACATCGCTAAATGAAGCAGGAATAAAGCCACATGAGAGAGAGAAACATACATAGCAGCAAAGGAAGCAATCCATTGGAGGAAAGTAGCGCCAAAACCCACAGCACTAAGCTTAACGACGTGTGTAGCAAGCTTTTTACCAGCGTTACGAAGTTCCCGAAGATCAGAGGAGATAAGATCGGAAACGTCAGAATCCGTCAACATTTTCAAGTAACTCGGTTTCACCATTTCAGTACGGCCGCTTTGATCTTCCGATCTGATGAAATTACAGAAGTATAAGAAGAAGAAGAAGAAGAAGATGAAGAGCAGAGCAGAGAGACAGACAGACAGATACGCTTTTGATTGGAAGATGCCACGTGGACCGGTTTTTTAATTATGTGATCTGTCAGCCACGTGGCCTTCTAGATTTTTCTTATTTTATTTTATTTTTATGGTTACAAATTAAGTATATGACTTGTGAAACTAAAATTCCTTCCCGCCCTTTAATCTCTGATGACTTGTAAACATTATATGCTATAATATAATTCACCTATTTTTAAATTACACGTGGCAAATTAGTTCTTGTCCACGTCTATGATTTATCTATTATTATTATTTTGTTTTATAAAGGTTTTTCTATTTTTTTTAAATATTATTTTGCTTTATAAAATTCGTTTGATAATTATTTCAATTTTTGGTTTATAGTTTCTCTGTTCCTAAAAAAATATTATTTTGTGTTTGTTTTGATAATCATTTTATGTGATATCCCATATTGATTGGGGAGGAGTATGAAATACTCTTTATATGTGTATGGAAACCTTTCCTTAACAGACGTGTTTTAAAGTCACGAGGGAAAGCCCAAAGAGGACAATATCTACTAACCACAGTGGGCTTAGGTCGTTACAAATAGTATCAAAGCCAGACACTAGGCGATGGGAGGTTGTTTCCCGAAGGGGTAGACACGAAGCAATGTGCCAGTAAGGACGCTGGCTCCCAAAGAAGGTGGATTTGGTGGTAGTCCCACATTGATTGGAGAAAATAATGAGTGCCTACGAGGACGAAGATGGAGTGGTGTGCTTGTAAGGACGCAGGGCCACGAAGGGAGTGAATTTGGAGCCAGACATCGGGCGATGGGAAGTTGTTTCTCGAATAGGGGGAGACACGAGGCAATGTGCCAGTAAGGACGCTGGGCCAAAGAGGGTAGATTTGATGGTAGTTTCACATCGATTGGAGAAAATAACGAGTGCCAACAAGGACGAGGACGTTGGGTTCTGAGGAGGCTGTTTCCTGAAAGGGGTAGACACGAGACGGTGTGCCAGTAAGGATGTTGGTCCCCAAAAGGAGTAGATTTGGTAGTGGTCCCACATCGATTAGAGAAATGAACGAGAGCCAATAAGAACGTCCGAACGGAGTAGACACGAGGCGGCGTGCCAGTAAAAACACATAAATGGGATGGATCTTAATCCTTGGGAATGAGTGGCTATTATTATTTTTACAAACCAATTAAATTAAATTAGGATCATTTTTTTTTTCTTAATGTTCAAAATAAAAATTAATCATGTTTTATTAGATTTGTTTCTTCTTAAACCATAAAAAGAAACAAATTTAGTTTTCAAACATTAATTTAAAAAAAAGTCGGGAAATTAAATTGTAAATTAAATTGTTAACTTATATGATTTTAATAATTTTAGAAACAAAATTAAAATTAAAAAAAAAAAAAAAACTAATTGCTAATATTAATTTAATAAGTTTTATTGAAATTTAGTGTCAAAGCAGAAAAATAAATAAATACTTTTTTAAGTAAGAAAATGTATTTACCCAATTGCCCTTTCAATGGAACTGTATTCATATTTGTAATCATTAAGCCAAATATAAATAAAGTCCTTGAGTTAATAATAGTGATCATTAAAAAATAATAATAATCAAGAACTAATCATGGCATTAATGGCCATTTTTTTTATTAATTTAAAAATATTTCCTTAAGAATTAAACACACATTATTTTTTTTTAAAATAGTTAAACACTCCCTTTGAAAGTGCTTTAAATATATTTTAATCTATTTTAAAATTTTCTCAAATTATGATAAAATAAAAAAATAAAAAATTAGTGGGTAAACACAATTTTGATGGACTAGTAAATGATGAAATATTGTTTTTTTTTTTTTTTTTTTGTATTAATACCATTGCTAAATTGGTAGCTAGCAGCTCTCGAGCAAGTATAGACTGATGTTATAACGTCACTCGTTATTTTTTGATAGTTCCTTTCCATTCTACTAAACGACCAATTTTGTTTACCTTTTAGGATTTGAACGAAGCACTTGCCATGACTCCGGTTCATTCCTAGTCAATCTAATGAGAATTTTTTTTGAGATTAGAATCAGGAACGAGAAGTTTTCTCCATCCCCACCTCGTCGAGTTTTGACACAATTATCAAAGGTCTAACTCGTCCAGAATCGATTTAAATATGATTTATACTAATTATTTCTTTTTGAGAAACATTTTCTTTATTATTATTATTTAATCTTAATTATAAAAAATTTAAGTTTATTAAAAAAAAAAAAAAGAGAAATGGTTATTTGTAATTAAAATATTTTCATGATTTTTTTTAATATATTTATAATTGAGGGCAATTATAGACATCTGTACTTGACAGAAATTCATTTAAGAACCAAACTTGAAGCAGAAATCAGTAAGCACTATAAATTAGCTGAAAACGAAGACATGTAGAATCAATTTCGAGAGCGAGGTCTCAAGAATGGGAAATTCGGTACAGTTTCTCCATGGCCCTAGCCTGCTCGATTATTTCTTGTTCAACACGACTCAGCCAGGGTACGGTTTTCTCTTGCAGAATGTTCAAAATCGACTTTCAAATCGAGTTATAAATAAATGCAAGTGGGGACGCGATGGTGGAAGAAAGAACTGGTAATACTCGAAAAATCCTTTTCAAATTTGACGTATTGTATAAATAGAATGATTATTATAATGGCTGAGACCATTGGCCATGACCTTCGGAAATTTCCTTTTTCTGTCTCTCTCTGTTGGTTTTTCTTCGATCTACTCCAACGCGTTGATTTCCACCATGGGACACTATTTTGAGTAATCAAAGTCTTCTTTGTAGTCTTTGTGTTGACTGAGTATTATAGCATTCGTGTTTGGAGACTCATTTTCCATGAGCCCCACTGTCTAAAAGTCTTCCTATTCGACTTTCTTGATTATGGGTTCCCACTAACTGGAGAATTGCAACTTCTGGATCATTTCCATTGGAGGTTCTTTCTCCTCTGCGTGATTTTTTCGCATTTCACATGGAGAAATTGATTTGGATTCGATGATTCGTTGATTCGTTGATTGTTTTTTCTGTTTTTGGGGGTTTGGGTAATTGTTCTTGCTTGATGAGTTGTGGGATGTGATTGTTAGAATCATTGGCTCTGTGTTTGACTTGTGTTGTTTTATCGGCGAGATATGGATGGGCTTCTGAAGAAGTTTTTTCATGAGAAGCCTTCTTCTTCGGTTGGTAATGAGGATTTTAACCCTGAATATTCTTTTGCAATTGAGTATACAGGTCCTGGAATCAATTACGACATTCCCCGTGCAGTTCCTATCAATATCGATTATATTCCAACTGCTTCTGTTGTTGTTTCATCGTCTCAGTTCAGGGATGATGTATCAACGCTTCCAGTTATAGAACCCATCGTTGGTAAATTTAGTAGGAGCTCAAGTTTGAAAGCCAATTTAGTGATTTCTTCAACCTCTGAAATCCAGGAAGATGGGCCTGTTTGCCTTGATGCCATTAAGAAAGATAATGGGAAAGATAAATGTGATATCATTGAAAGTTCTGGTGAACTTGAGAATTTCAATAAGCTAAAGGGAAGATTAGAAGGCGGGTTAGAATCACTGGAAATTAAGAATGAAGAGGATTTTCAAGGTTACACGAATTCGAGTGATTCAGAATCGGCAGAATCGGGTTTGAGCTCGTCTTCTGGGATTTTTGCTGTAAGAGAGGAAGAGGAAGTTGAAAATGAAATCCAGCCTTGGCATGGCAGGAAGCCATCAGCTGTTACTTTTCTGGATCCCCATTTGAGCAGCACGATTTCTGACGAGGCAGAATCGAGTCAATCTGATGCTGAAAGTATCCATGACATGCCAAGAGCTGAAAGGAAGGGGAAGAAAGGATCGTGCTACTACTGCCTTAAAGGAAACCGTTTCACTGAAAAGGAAGAGTGTATTGTCTGTGGAGCCAAATATTGTATTGTCTGTGTAATTAGGGCAATGGGATCAATGCCAGAAGGAAGAAAGTGTATCACTTGTATTGGGTTCAGGATTGATGAATCAAGAAGAAACAACCTGGGTAAGTGCACTAAAGTGCTCAAGAGGCTGTTTACTGACTTGGAAGTTAAGAACATTCTGAGTCGGGAAAAAGAGTGTGAAATAAATCAGATACCTGCAAGACTTGTTTATATCAATGACCATCCTTTAAGTAGACAGGAACTGCTTATGCTGCGAAGTTGCCAAAAGCCACCAAAGAATCTAAAACCAGGACGATATTGGTATGACAAAGAATCGGGCTTCTGGGGAAAGGTCCTTTCTCTTTGATTGCTTTCATTTTATCTTTTGGGCATGTAAAAGAAGTGTTTTGCACCACAACAAGCTTCTTATTCTGTTTTTAACCGAACAGGAAGGACGTGGACCGTGTCAGATAGTTAGCACCCATCTAGAGGTAGGAGGTCGCATTAAGAGGGATGCTAGCAATGGCAATACAAATGTTTGCATCAATAATCGAGAGATCACGAAAAAAGAGCTGCGGATATTGAAGGTCGGTAATTCACCCAGTGTTCATATTTAGTTTAGCTTTATTAAATTACAAGAACGTGCAAATAACACAAATGAGATCATGTTGCTTGCAGCTGGCTGGAGTACCTTGTGAAGGAAGACCTTCTTATTGGGTTAGCGCAGATGGATCATATCAGGAAGAGGGAATGAACAATGGGGGGAAAATATGGGACAAGGTGAACTTTATGCGATATTGTTTACTTTCTTGTGCTCTATCTTATTTATCAAACTTCCGAGAATAATAAATGCACTTTTTTTTTGCAGCCTACAACGAAGCTTGCATGTGCCGTTTTTAATTTACCTATTCCTTCTAGTTCTGTTCATTCTGGAGAGGAAAAGGTGGATAAAGCTAGTTCTTCTCCTGAGCCGAAAATGCTTCATAAACTTCTACTTGTTGGCCATGACCAATCTGGCACAAGTACCATATTCAAGCAGGTAAAGCTTAGCTGATCTTATTACTGTAGAATCAACTTGAACAGTTATAATTTGACCCGATCTTAGGTGTCATCCATTTTTGGTTATACATACATTTAAAAAAAAAACTGTCCAAGGCTAATTCTGGTAGGTTTCAGTAGTATTATTGCATTTTATGCTTCAGTGACTTTTACCTGTGATTGTGCTGACATTCTTATTATTTATGATGTTAATCTTAATATTAGTTTTCTTCTTGTTCGATCAGAGTTTCAATAAATAGTTTCAGTTCATAAATAAAGTTCAATGATTTGTCTGAAAAAGTCGTATGTTGAGTAAGCGGGCGAAAACTACATGCCAGTATATGATTTGCTTCTCGTGTGTAATTTATATGTTGTGTCAACTACCTAGTCGAATGTGTGAAGTTAAAATGTTTTTATTCAAGCTTGTGTATTTTGAACTATCCGTTAAGGTGCATTCCAGTGGCGCCTGCCTCATGAAATGCGAACTTTTGGGAACAGGCTTTGCACAGATTTTTTAATTCAATATTAATATAGGATAGTAAAATCTGCATAATGAAATCTGCCATGTTCTTGTTTTCTTATCCCAAAAATATGTCGACAATCCTTAACCATTATTGTGCAAGAGAGGTTCCTTCTTTGTTGTAGTTGAGATTCTTTGTTGAGGAATCGTTGGAAGAGGAGTTCCACATCGGCTAATTAAGGGGTTGATCATGAATTTATGAGTAAGAAATACTATCTCCATTCGTACGAGGCTTTTTGGGAAAACCAAAAGCAAAGTCATGAGAGCTTATGCTCAAAGTGGGCAATATCATACCATTGTGGAGATCCGTGATTCCCAACATTCTTGTTCTTGAATTACACCACTTTTAGCTTACCTTCACCCAATATCTCAACCTCCCTGTCCTTGGTGCACTACAATTAATGTGGATATAGAAATGTTTATCCTATATGCTTTCTGAACATTAATCACTTCTTCAATTTAGGCCAAGCAAATATATAAAGTTCCTTTCTCTGATGACGAGCGTCAAGCCATTAAGTTCCTGATTCAAAGAAAATTATATTGGTATATCAGTATACTACTGGAAGGTCGGGAACGTTTTGAAGAAGAGGTTTTGATGGATGAGAAGAATAAACAACCTGTGAATGATCCGTCTACCTCATCAGCATCAGGTATGTTGTAATTCAAAATTTAGATGGTTTTCCCTAACAATAGATTGTGATATCATCCTAACTACATTAGTCAGATGATTAATGTGTATAGTATGGAACTGTTCTGTGGTTTCAGGGAGTGACGTTCAGTTTGAGCGTAAAACCATCTATTCCTTTGGCCCTAAGCTGAAAGTGTTCGCCGACTGGCTTCTTCAAGTCGTAGTGTCAGGTTACTTTGAGACAACATTCCCAGCAGCTACCCGTGTGTACGCCCAATCAGTGGAAGAGTTGTTGAAGGATGAAGCGTTTCAAGCCACATACAGTAGAAGGAATGAACTAGAAATGCTCCCAAGAGTTTCAACTTATTTCCTTGATCGGGTGAGTTTACAGAACGTACCCTTCTATTTGATATGGTGATAAACATTGTTTTCTCTCTGTCTTCCTCGGCCATCTTGAATACAAATCACATCAACTTGAAAGTTAAGTGATATCAGTTTAACAGTTACATGACGTGTTGGTTGTATAATTTCATGAAGTTAACATAACATTATTAGGAACCTATAAATTTTTCAAGTATTAGAACAATTAAACGAATACAACATTCAAAAGTTTAGTGACCCATATGAGATAATGTAAATTTATCACATCTTTTAAGCCATGACTTTTCCCCAATATCTTGCTTGTGAATACTGGACTAGATCATGATTTGCGATCATCATTCTTTATGAACGCAGGCTGTTGACATTTCAAGCTCAGACTATGACCCTTCTGACAACGACATCTTGTATGCCGAGGGAATCTCCTCATGTAAGAGCCTCAGTGACATGGAGTTCTCGTTCCCCGAGTCACGACAAGACTCCCTTCTCGATCCACCTTATCAGCATGACTCGTCAATAAGGTTGCTATTTGAAGTTCTTTATGGATTTTTGTTAGACATTTATATGAAGTCATCTTCTAAAGAACTTGATACCTTGTAACTTTAGGTACCAGCTGATTCGAGTCCATCCCAGTACCTTGGGAGAGAACTGCAAACTGTTGGAAATGTTTGAAGACATGAGCATTATCCTGTTTTGTGTTGCTCTGGTCGACTACGACGAATTCGACGAAGATGATAATGGAGTTTTAGTCAATCGGATGATCGCAAGCAAACAACTCTTCGAAAGGATCGTGACGGATCGAGCATCGAGTGGGAAGAACTTCCTTCTCATACTCAACAAGTTCGATCTGTTTGAAGAAAAAATCATCCAAGTTCCACTTTCGCAATGCGAGTGGTTCGACAACTTCAATCCAATGATCACGCCAAATTCTACCGGAAGAAGCAGCAGCAGCAGCAGCAGCACAAACCCGTCATTGGCTCAACGAGCGTTTCAGTACATAGCGGTGAAATTCAAGAGATTGTTCTATTCTCTAACAGACAAAAAGCTGTTTGTTTCACAAACTACAGGGATGGAACCTGAAAATGTGAATGCAGCTCTCAGATATGCGAGGGAGATAATCAAATGGGAAGTAGACAAGCCTAACATCAGCATTACTGAAATTTCAACTGCCAGTGCTGATGCAAGCAGCTTTTTATAGGTATTCAAATTTAATTGATTATTTCCTTCATAATAAATTAGTGTAACACTAATTATTAGTCCTCTGTAAATTTTTTATATTTTTATTTAAAAAAAAGCTGAAGAATTAAAATGTATAGATTTTGGTAATATCTAAAGTGATTGTAACTCAGTAATAATTGACATATATTATTTCGTTTAGATTGATCGTCTAGATTTGTAGACTTCGTTACAACTGAAATTTATAGAAAATAGATTTATTAGATCTTCGGGTTGGTAAATTTGAAATTTGTAATAAATAATACATACTTTCATATTAAATATTTAATTAAAGTAATTTTCTTTCAACGGATAAATATTTAATTGTTCATGCATATATTTTTTAGAAAATAATATTAATAAAAAGTTGTTTATACAAATCTATCCAATTTAAGATTAATGTTATCAATTATTTATTTAATTATCCATAACTTTCTATCCTAACTAAATTTATTTACTGAATTTAACTTATATATTTAACTAAGTTAAGATGTCTTAGATAATATTATTCTAAAAGCTATTAATTTTAAATAAATTAACCGAAATAGTTTAATTAATCAATTTTACATTGTTATCTTGACATAATAACATGACTTTTATATACCATAAATGTTAAATATGCTTATCCTAATTTGTACCGAGTCACAACATTCCACTAAGATTGGATAATAATCTTCCTAATAATCTTAAAAGTAGGTAGAGTTAACTGAGTTGGGTTAGGTTATAACTCTATTTTCGAGTTGATAAGACTGACTCAACTTGGATTGGGATAGGTTATGACTCTATTTTCGGGTTGATAAGACTGATTCGACCTAAAAAATTTCAACCCACAAATTGTTTTGACTAAATTTTTCTTTTATTTTTAATTAAACCAATCTACTCCGAACAAAAAAAAGAAGTTTAATCGTGTTGGATGATGAAAGTCCCACATCGGTTAATTTAGGGAATGGTCATGAGTTTATAATCTAAGAATACACTCTTCATTGGTATGAGGCGAAGCCCTAAGTAAAGCCATGAGAGCTTATGCTCAAAGTGGGCAATATCATACCATTGTGGAGCTAACAAATCGGACCTAAACTTTATGGTTTGGCTTACCTTAAATAATATTTAAAAAAATGTAAAAAATAAAGAAAAATAATTCTTTTTACAAACGAAAGGATAATACATTGATTAGGTGATCTTGTGAATCCAATTAGAGATTGACACGTTACAAACTCCCCGATTGAGAGTAATTGCAACAATGACGTGGCATGCACAAAATTTGGACAAATCAGAATACGACACGTATTGAACACGTAGGCAATTGAGAGAACATGTGATGTGACATGTAAGTAGCACATCTCCAAACCATGGGCGCACCTTGTGGCACTCAATTAACTGGAGACCATTTTCAGTTTATTTATTTATTATTTATTATTTCATTTTTATAATTAATTAATTAATTACTATTTTTAATTTTAAAACAAAGTCTAAAACTTAGGACCGTTTTAAATATTAGTGATATATTTTTATATAGTGTATGTCACACATTAAAAAAGAGTTTAGTATAATAAGATTTTAGAAATTACCGGAGACTATGGTGAAACGATTTCAATCTTCATAGAGGAGTATTGATTCTCTTCTTGTGAGCTTATAATCACCAACGGGTGTTTTTTCGTAGTTTAACTCTAATGCCTCCGATAAAGGGAAACGAACGAATTGAGAAGACCATGAGCTATGGGCGTCCACGATTTGTTAACAAGCCTTGACCTTGTCCTTGATCTCAACTTAAGTGAGGTCGACTCATCTTCGGTCTCGACCAGTGTTGGTCTTTCCTGTTTGTTATAATATCAAAAGTTTGTTCTGTTTTACTTTGGTTCTTCGTAAAAACTAGTCAAGTCGGCCTCAATTCTCGACTTCTAATGCTTAATGCGTATTTTCCTTCCACTTCTCTTCCATAAAACTCCGACCCTCCTGTCTATTCGATTGGTTCGTACTAAAGATTAGTGAAAAATAGGATCTTACTAAAAATTATTAACACATGTACATGTAACTAAAGTTTTGGCCTTTGGGGACTAATCCAACAACAAAAAGCCAGAGTAGAACTAGAACCATCCGATCCCGCCACCGTTCCCGACCGGAAAATCTCAAGAACCACCACCATCTCCTCCTCTCTCCTCTTACCAACACGGCGGCGAGACGACGGCTAAACCCAACGCCGGCGCCGGCCGTATTTCGATTATAAAATCATTTACACACTATATATATATTCATCATATCAGAAGCAGATCAGAGAAAAACAGAGGAACCCATTTCTCCGGCGGCGCATCACAAGGGAGCAAAGCGATCGATGAGCAAACAAATGGTGGAATCCGACAAGGTTGCTTCTCGGTCATCGGAATCTGCAGAGACGACAACGTTGTTTTCGGATTCTTTGAGGTCTCGCTGGTGACAAAGCTTGGATTTGGACATCAATGGCTTCTTCTTTTGAGCTTCGACTCTGTTCTTCCATTTCCCCAGCTCGCTCATCCATGATTCTACCATTGCTGCCATTTCTTTCCTCTTCTTTTGCTTTAATTGTTCTTGATTGTGCAATGAGATTATGAGAAATGGTTGGAGGGAGATTTATATAGACAGCTGCTCAAAAACAGGTCTGCAATGGCACATCCAATTTCAGCTTCGAATATTCTATAATGAAAAATATCATATACAGTTTAAAAAATGTCCCCCATCCAACTTGGTTTATAATCAAAGAATACTATCTCCACGATTGTTGAAGTCTAAAATAAAACTACCATAGCTTATATTCAAAGTAGACAATATCATAGAGAGTCGTGTTCATCTAACATGGCATGAGAGTCATACCCTAAACTTAATCATGTTAATAGAATCTTCAACAAAGAATTCAAAAGAAATTGAAGTTGAAGCTTGATTAAAAGGATTAAGAAGAGGCGCGAGATAAAAGTATTTTTGAATTTTTTTAAAAGTTGAAAAATATTAATAATTTCTAAACTAAAAGTATTTTAGAAAATATTAATTATTTTTATTCAAAATTAATAATAAAATATTTATTTTTTTAGTTTAAGAATGTTTTTATTAATTTAATATTTAAATTTTTAATGGAACTTAATAAGCTTAATAAATATTATAATTTTTTTTTAATTATGGTATAATTTTTGTAAAAGGGGTAAAGAGGGAATATGGGATGGGGGAAGTGGGGACCATTTTTGCATTATTTGAAGTGATTGAGGGGTTGAGAAGATGATAAGGCTGGGTGGTGATGTGGCTTTGTGGTGGGACCCATCTACTTTAAAATTCAAATAATTTTTTTAATATAAAGTTGTTATTATCAAGACCCAAATGAATAATTGAGGTTTTTTTTTTTAATATTTATTTTTAAATATATTTTCTTTCATTTGATATTTAAATATCTTTTGAGATATTATCTACTCTAAGATAAACAATATTTTATTTTATCAAAGAAAAAACAAGTATTTTTTCCGACGCATAATAAAAAAATTTGAATTAGACACAAACACGAGTTCTTCAGACATGTTTTATTTTCATTCACCTACAAAATTCTCTGGCAGTCATCCAACATGATTAATCATGAAGTTCATAGGATTAAGCGACAAAAAAAAAAAAAAAAAACATCTAGTTAGTATAGATAGTGTCTTTCGATTTTTTTTAAAGTATTTCTTAGTTATCCTAGGTTCATGATTGCTCTCATTCAGATGTGGTCTCGGTTTATTTATATACCCCTCTTTTACTCGGTTGTCACATGTTCACCAATTTTTTCATTGGTTCGTCTCCGAACCACGTCATATAGAAGAGGTACTACTCGGTATTTCTCAATTTGTACAGGTCTTATACCATTCTCAAAAAAAGAATTGTCAAAACCGCTCTTTTGATGTAATCATATATGAACTTTCTTCCTAGTTAGATCGATGTAAATATACGAACACATCGTTACCTCAATATAATATATCTCAAATAAAGCTATCGATGGTTTAGAAAACTAACACATTAATTATTTTAGGTCTATGTGGAATCGTGTTAGGTCGAAATATTTACAAAAATTTCTAATATTTTTAGTCTATTAAGCCAAATTAAGATCATATTAATATTGGCCGACCAAAGACCTTAAAGTCATCAAACAATTTAAACCTTGAAAAGTGGCCATGGTCGACTTGGCCTTATGAACCACTGTCTCCATCTACATCCCTCCAAACCATGGTTTGTTTGTCATCGAACTAAGACTTTTCTACTTTTATTTTCCATTTTTGCCCTTTTCAGGTCGGGTTTTTTTAAAGTACTTCTTCATAATAATAAGTAGTCGTTTTTTTAGTACAACAATGTATGAGAGTGGGAGATGTTAACTTTAAATCCTATGATGCCTAAACAGTTAATACGAGTGAATGATTCTTTTACTCTATATCTCGAACAAACAAGTTCCTAATCTAGAATTGCAAGAAGACGAGATGTAACGGCCCAAGTCCACTTCTAGCAAATATTGTCCCCTTTGGCCCTTTACGAATCGTCATCAATCTCACAGTTTTAAAACGAGTCTGCTAGGATAGGTTTTCACATCTTTATAAAGAATGTTTCGTTTCTCTCTCCAACCGATGTGAGATTTCACAATCAACCCGTTGAGAGTCTAACGTCCTTGCTGGCACAACGCCTAATATTTGTCTCTGATACCACTTATAATAGCTCAAGCTCACTGCTAGTAGACATTGTCTGCTTTGACTCGTTACGTATCGCCGTCAGCCTCACGGTTTTAAAACACGTTTGTTAGGAAAAAGTCTCTACATTCTCATAAGAAATGTTTCATTCTCTTCTTCAACTAATATGAGATCTCACAATGAGAAGAGAAAGAAATGAGAAATGACAATGTTAGCAGCCTAATAAGCAAAATTGTCACGTGGTCAAAGTTTAATCAACCTGATAACCACCGTGTCAGCATTTTTTTTAGGTCAACTAAGAGCTAAATGATCAAATATCGAGGACTATGGTGTTTCTTTTGAAATTTCATGAATCAAATAGAAATTAACATCAAACGCCATGAACCAAAAATATATTTACAAACATCAATACCGAACCTAGTTTTCAAATTCTCGTGACACGATGGTAAATTTCCTAACCCTTATCATCATTTTCTTAGAAAAAAAAAACATTGTTTTTGAC